AAAAACCCTTTATAATTCGAAGTTTTATTTATTTTGTCTTAAAATTTCGAACCACTTAATATTTCAAACATTCGATAATTCGAAATATTTTAAGAGTGCCTTGAATTTCGAAATAACGAGAGTCGACTCTATTTCATATCATCATTTATGAAGAGTTTATAAAGACGAATGCTCAAAATATGTGTTTCAAAGTTATTTATGATTAATGCAACTGTTTGAATTTAGTTTATAAGCATTATCAATTAATATCACTGTTAATGCTCCTTTTCCGGTGTATTTTATAAGCCTAATACCTCAACCTGCCTCATACTCTGTCTATTTCAACTGAATTTTTGTCATCTCACGTAGTCGTAGCCGTGATTCATTTATATGTATGTATGTAGCTTTACACTTAACCAACTTTGTCTTGATATTTTGTTTCTTTTCATTTTTTCGGCTTTTCTTTGTAGCTTTTGCTTTCCGTTGGTTCTTTGCTTTTAATGGCTCTTTAAAGTGGCTCCGTGTCGGCCGACCTTGATATACACAATTACTGAAGAGGGAAAGTAAAGTAAACTCAGTTTCGACTTGTAATATTTTTTAATTTCTTTAGGGACTTTTCCAGCTCTAAATCCATTATGATTAACTTCACCTCACGTACATTAGGTAAATCAATATAAAGCTCTCTGGTTATGCATATTGAATCCAAAACGCTACATTAGCTTCTCAGTTTATCAGCTATCAAATTTGTTAAGGGCAGTTTGAATATGTGACAAATTCATCAGTTGAGAATTTAACTATTAAATCTATGTATAATTAAAAATAAATACACGCTATTATATTTTATGATAATGTGATGTGTGCTAAAAAGTTATTTTCGCTCTGTCAACTTGGCTTTGCAAACATTTTTGGTTTGAAAAGGAACAGTTATTGATGCAGAATTCTCATACAAAAAAATTAAAATTTTGTTAAATAAAAAATAATATTTTATTCCGATGAGCTTACAAAATTTAGAAAACATTTTCATTCTTCCAACAGATACGCTCCTGTAAAGGCGTCACAGCTTATGAACTTATTAAATGAAACTAGGAAACTGTTCTATGACATCACATTCTTTATTCAATAACAACTAACGGCAATTATCAGGTCGGACAGCGCCTATTTGGTGACCTAATAGGCGTACGAGATAAGAGGCGAAGCGTACTGCGTCTTTACGATAGCGGGGCCAGCGGCGATCAAAGGAGCAGCTGCCTTCACAATGGGAGCCGGAGCAGCGGCATAGGCCAAGGGAGCCGGGGCAGCCACAACGGGAGCAGCGCGAACAACTGGAGCGGGGGCGGCTACGACGGGAGCAGCGCGGACGACTGGAGCGGGGGCAGCGACAACGGGAGCAGCGGCCACAGCGGCGACCAGTGGCTCGCGACGCACCACAGCGTTGAAGCCGTTGATCGGGTCGGCGGTGTAGTCCACAATGCGACGGTAGCCATCGGCATCATTCAGCGAGTACTGGCCCTGGACGATGTTGCCGTCACGGGTCTCCACCTGGGTCTTGGAGTCGCCAGAGATCGCATCCTTAACGTCATATCCATATGTGTACTGGGGATGGGGGTCGTACTCCTCCACCTGGGCAACGGCGGCCAAGGGCGCAGCTACGGGCACGACTCCAGCGCTGGCGACAGCAATGCAGGCGGCGAAGAGAATGGTGAACTGCAAGTACATGAAACACACACACATACACACAATCACGATTTAGATACACAGCTTTCACATAATCCTGTGGCTGGCTTACTTTGAATGCCATTGTTTTTGGGTTTGGTTGGACGAATGTTGCTCTAGATACCGAACTCGGGTGTGAACTGATTTGAACAATGTCCAACTAGGGGCTTTTATACCGCGCCGCGAGGCCCGTCTGGTATGCCCGCACTCGCAACCAAATGAGTGCACTTGCGTCACAAAACGCCGGCGACAATACCAAAATACAAAGCGACCATAACTGAAGCTCAGCGACGAGCAAGACTAGAAGCCAAGTAGGTGCTGCTGCCGCTGCTACTGGTGGAGGAGGAGCATGCGCTCGACGGTAGGCGGGCGGGAAGCGGGCGTACTATCGCACCGCAAAGCACAATGTTATCCAAGGCTAAGCGTACAAGTGACAAAAACAACAGCAGCAATGACGACAACAACAACCACAACAACAACAACAGCAGCCCATGCCATAAAGGCATAATGCCTTCTTGATTGAATTGGACGCACTCGAGCCGAATTAATATTGGTCTCAGATACTCAGAAGTCGCATACCAGCACTAAATCGATGAGATCGCTCATTTGTTTTCGCTTTCGAAAGGCACACACAGGCGCACAGCTCACTTAGTGCCATTATGAATAATATGGTATGCAGCGCATGCGCAAATGCATAACAACGGTTTTTCAAATTGACTGCCATGCACTTGTGTCCACACACATACAAACACAGACGCACATGTGGCACCTTTTGTTGTCGCCTCCCTCCCCAGCCTTGCGCCTGATCAGACGTGACCTTAAAAATTACGTTTGTTACGTTTCATTTGAGTTTTAATTGGATTTCGCATGCTCGCGTTTATTTTTCCCATTTTTTGTCGCCATATAAACTTCCTATGCGAAGTACAAAAGTGTGATATATTTATTTACTTAACGCTCATTAGAGTTCTTATTTTGTTTACAGTTTTATTCACTGTGATAGGAGGTATAGCAGAACATAATGTTGAATAAATATTACAATGTAATTTGCTAAAATACATTTGAAGTAATTAAGCAAGATCTCTCCACATATGTCGTGAAATAGCTCAAATAGTCTCGAATGATATGCGCTCTTTCAATGTATGCATTTTACGAAAGGAACATTGCTATCTAATTAAATTGTTACTCCTAGAATAAAAACAAGAATGCAGAGATTAGAATTGCTACTAGCTGTTGCTTATCGATTTTAATTATATTTAGAGTATGCGTTGAAAATCCTCTGTTAAAGGGATTATCTATGGATGGAAGAAGAGCTAGAAAGGTGAAATTTGAAACGTAGATTCACATCGGCCATTCAAGATCACGAGCTATGGCGGATATATATACGCCCATCGGGGGCCTGGCAATCGTATAAAACTGTATCTCCTAGAGTTTTATAGCTAGAACGTTAGATTCAATGTGTCATGTAAACTAATGATATTATTCTATAAAAAGTAATGCAAAAATTGTATGTCTACGCCCACTAGGGGCATGGTAAAACGGACCTGAATATTTAGTGATTTTTAAAATTCTGCTCTCTTTTGGGCACTATCGATGCTGGAGACCTCAAATTTTGTATATATACTCGGGCTGGCCACTCAAAACCTAAAAGCTTTGGCTGATATAAGTCCGCCCATAAGGGGAGTGGAAAACCGCAAAAGTTTATATTTCCTAAAGAACCCAAAAAATAACTTTTACACCTCTTTGGAAGCGTGGCATATTGAAAAATACTCTGTAATTTTACAGCGTAAGCATTGAGCGTAAGCATTCAAATTTTGCAGTAAGGGTAACGTTACCTCGTTCTAAGACCTGACCTAAAATGAGCTGTCTACGCCCAGTAGGAGTGTGAAAATCGTGAAAAGCTATAGTATCAGAGCTTAACTTAGCTCCTAAATTGCTGTTGGGATGTGAATGAGTATTCTAATCGCATTATACTCCAATGCCAAGTACCAATTAATAGACTGCGACAAGTACAACAACAAAACTTTCTCCGACTGCCGTTCATTTTAATTCAACTATTTACAATAGTTTGCCTAAGTCACATAGCTACAGTCAATAAATTCAAGCAATGAATCGCTCTCCTAAAAGTATGCTACAATCTATCTATGCTACAATTATCTTTTCTAAATGATTCCCAAAAGATGGCGCTAACATCGCAACGCAACTGCAATGCAATGTATGCAAGAGCCATACCATTTGGTCAAAACTGAAATGTTCCCTAACTGTGTACTACTTTGTTTTTT